TAAAAAAATCCACAAAGATGGATAGTCCATTTTCTTTAAGAAAAAATTCATTGTTAAGAAAAAATATTAGATTGAAGGTGGATAGTCTGCAACCTTCAAAATACAATAATTAAAGTGGAGTAGTTGACTTACTTCTAAGAAGAAGATAAGAACAAAATTTCATATTCTTATCATACTATCAAAGACATGAATCTTGAAGAACCAAAAACTCAATACACTCTTATGTAATTCAAAAAGAATAGATATTCATTCAAAATTAATAGAATATTGAAATTGGAATGGCTACTATCAAAGACAAGAAGACTAGAAAGTCTTAAAATAAATCTGAGAACTAGAAAGATATTAACAAGAGTAAAAAAGACTTCATTCTTACTTTTATATATACTATCTAACTAGAAGCTACTTAACAATATTCTATAGGAACTCCGATGCATGTCTAATTTGTAAAATACATGTCTTAACTTGCAACGCAAGTTTCTTATATGTATGCCATAATGTTAGCTTATACCATAAGCTAGGAATATGTGCAACATGTGGCTAACTTGTTGGCTAAGTTTTTAATCTATGAATCACCTATGGACATATATAAAGATAAAAATACGTCTATGAAGCTTCTAGAAAGCTTTTCTACAAAATATTATTAAATTAACTTACTTTTATTTATTTATAATATCTAAAAAACTATTAAAGTAAATATGCATGTCTATGATAGTAGTAGATCAGCCTTGCTTGAAATGACTCAAAAGCCATTAGATTAGATGATAAAATTGCATAAAAAGATTTACTTCTTAAGTTGAGGGAGCACTCCCAAATACTTCTTATGAAGAACATAATTCTTGTGGATTTGGTATAGGTGATAGCATAACATATTATTGAGTAAGTAGAAGATTATATTTCTATTGAATGGTTGATTTGGTTGCCAAGCTAGTAAAATTTTAAGATTTCAACTATGATACTGATATTGATAAAGCGCAATATTCTTACTCCGGATTAGATGACATTGCAAGATGCAATAGAAATTAATTTTATAATTTACGTATATCTAGTATATTTGAAAGTAAAATCTTGCACTATGCTTGCTTAATTTAGAGATAATACAGAACTATAATCTTTTTCAATGCAATCTTTGTGTTGTAATATCAATAATAAGTCAATTGCATAGAATACTTCTATTAATTATTATTAACTATAATCTAGCAATGAATACATGGAATTCCTTAATAATATGGTATTCTCTCTTTACTTGCTATTTTCTATGCTAAGTAGTTGAATTTCACATTCTATTCTCTTACCAAAATCTAATGACCTTCTTAAGGATTCCTAAACATGCTAATTTAGAATTTTCCTAGAAGCCATTGAAGTAGTGCATGTTGAAAAGAGATTTTTCCTTCCATTTACAAAGTTAAATTCTTATGCATTCCCATGCATATAGTTACTTGATGTCTCTATCAAGAGATAACTTATCTTTATTGTGGTTTCAACCAATCATACATGACCAATTGAGGTTTTTCTAATGTTACATATAGGATTGAGATCCCACCAAAGGTAGACAGAGGTTGGTGACCAAAATAACTTGCCAATGGAAATAAAGATATTTTCGATGAGAATATACACAATATATAAAGAATACATAGTTTTACACCAACAAAGTATACTTCAATATTTGTTGAGGCTTCTATGAGCAAGTAGTTTTATACTAGAGTAGGCCTATACAATATTCTTATTTAGCCTACAATTATGGTTTGTTCATATTTTCATTAGATGGCATAGGATTTGTACCTTGCTTCTTTCTTATCTCTATAAGCCTTTTGCAAAGTAAAATAAACCTTCCATAGTTGGAAGTCTATTCTAATTCACATTGATATAATTATCTAAGTTTTTTAATAATTCCTATTGGTATTTGACTTGTATCCACAATTCGAATAATTCTTCAATTGTAAGTTAGATAACACCCTCTACTAGGTGATTTTCTTAGGTTTACAATTAATACTTACTTGTGAATTAATTAGCTAAATGTCCTTAATCCTTACTTTTAAATCCTTAAGTTTGTTTACTAATATGAACTCACACTCACACATAAATAATAACAATACAAGGAATAATAAATACTTCAAAAAAATCACAATTATAATCTAAATAAATCTCTCTAATAAATGATATATTCTAATTCACAACTATTAATTAGCTTACAATTTAATTGCTTAAGTTGCCTCCTACTTTGTTTTAAATTTTTAATTATCTAACTAGTTAAAAATCCACACTCATACAACTACAACAATAGCACAATTACTCAATTAACAAAACCACACACTTGAAAGACATATATATATATATATATATATATATATATATTTTTTCATATAATTTTTAATTTTAATTTTTTTGATCTAATATTAAAAGTCATCTAAGATGAAATGTCATCCAAGACAATTTTTCATCTGCAAATGAGTTTTCATCCTCAAATGACTTCTCATCCACAAAATGAGAAATTGTCCAACCAAATATAATATCATCCCCAATTTATCATCCAATTGATTTAAACTTCATCCATTTAAATCCTACTTTACTCAAAATTGGTCTAATTCACCCAATTCAAGAAGACTGCATTCATACCACTCACATGCAAAGGATGGCACGACCATTTGAGTGACAAGAAGAGTTTGTATTTTTTGTTTTGATTTACTCAATAGTTCAAAATCCAAGGAATCACAGAGGTCCTCGAGAGTATGCCTCCAGCCGCTGTCTAGTTGGAGGAGTCAAAGATGATGAGATTGAGTTTGGATGCAGATGCTCATTTGCTTGGCCTTCGAACTCGTCTTGCTCTCTTTGGTTCTAGACGCTCAATTTGCAACAACTTCAGGATCTCCAGGCTTCGCTGAGTATCCTCAAGGCTCCTTCACACCACTTGTTGGTGCTGATGTTCTTTTTTACCGATGATTGCTTGTATCCATGCTAACTACTACTACAAAGAAATAATGCAACATCAACGCCCTACGGGCAATCTGGAGATCATTTCCGGCCATCGAGATCACATTGATAGATCCCGATTTTACTAGCGTCTGGAGGATCACCAAGTTCTGGATGCCCTAGTTTTGGAGAATATTCATTAAGCGCACAAAAAACGACCGTTCACAAGTAGAAGAGACTTGTGTCATCGAGAGACAAGAACCCATCTTGCTCTAACACAAATACTGAAGAGGATGCTGGCTTGATACTGTTATTCTCCGGAGCGAATTTATAGTTGCTTAGTTGAATTTGACGGTTGAAAACCAACCGCGGTCACTTGCCAACAAAGAAGGAAGAATCAATGGGGATCAGACCAAGAGATAATACAATTTACTTCGACGAGCACCACTGTTTCCAAAAATCCCCAACTTATATTCTGGAATTTGAATGTCAAGACACTAAGCTCTTGATCACCCAGTAATAAAGAGTGTCGACACCGATCACCGATCCCACCAAAAATACTGCGCTAGCACGGTGCCTCTGAATGCGATGTTTGCAATAGCTTGGAAGCTTAGTCCAAGGCCCACATAGAGCATCAACCGCCACAATCCACTCTGAACCACAATGGAAAAATCGGTAATGTCACAAGTCACCGCCGCTGGAACCACCTACTTCGCCCTTCGCAACACCAACATACAAAAAAGAGAAAAAAGTGCCGACTTAAACTAGTACTCGCTTGCTGCACTACAACAAGGTGGAACGAGGACAATCATGCTGCACCGCAGCTTCGACCTCACATACCAGGAGGAAATAATACAAAAACAAAACATCCCAGAGCACCCGAAGTCCAAGAATATGTCGCAGGAATTAAAATAAAAAGAGAGACGAGGGTCTGCGGTGGCCCAGATCCCTATCGAGGATGAGGTCTCTTGATTTTTGCCTCATCTCAATTGCTGCGCCAATATCGCCAATTTTGAGTATTCTAGATTCCTTCTAGATACTCACAAGATGCTAAAAAGATATCCATTTGATTTTCTATACTAGCTACAATTAGCCTACTAACTCCATTTTGCTTATATCTACCTTTCTCACCTAATCTTACACCTAGTAATTGCACTTGGCATTCTAATTGTATTCTTTTACTCTATTGTTATAACACTCTATGTCATAATAATCTATCTAAATATATTATAAGATCTAAAAGAGGCATAATCTTTTGACAATGTATTAAAATTAAGATTTTTTTTTTGTTAAACAAAATTATTAGAAAATAGATGAATAATTTAATATACATATGTGGTTGTATTAAATTGATCTTGATTTCTAAATTTTAAACCAAAACGAAAAATAAATAGAAAAAATATATACAATGAAATATATCATACAAGTGTTACAAAAATGTCAACTAAATATTCAATAAAACTTAAGTATTAAAAGACTTTTTAAAATACTAGTTTTCAATAGAAAAATTTAATTTAATTTGTAGTTGAACAAGTCTTAAGTAAATATTTTTATTCTCTTGTGTGTGAGGTGGATATTTTCAATGTCTTGATTTTTTTTTATTATTATTTCTATATATTTTAAATTTATTTTTATTATGTTTATAATATAATTTCAATTTTTTTTAAAATGACACCAAAGCAAGATGTCACTGTTCTTTTAAGAGCATAGCCAAATGTTAGTGCCAACAAAGACGATTAACAAGTGGATGCCATGGCAGCATAACGCACTTGCTAGGACAGCCCCAGCTCGGTTTCCAAACTTGGCGCCACGTGCCTATCCTTCATTGATATCGTCTTTTTTTGGACGTTAGAGCCCAATTTGCAGGAAAGAAGCAGCTGTTGTTGTTGTTGTTGTCGTCGTTGAAGTGTTGATCGGCGGTGGTGGTGGGGAGGATATGGTGAGGCAGATAGGGAGGTTTTGGGTTGAATCGGCTCGCTGTGTGGGTTTTGTAGAAGGTATTTATTGCTCGTGGTAGGTGAGTCAAGCACGGCATTCAGCAATTAGCACCGGTGATGCTTTGGTCCTGTTGGTGTTGCTTGGTCTGCTGTGCTTGCTGCATTGTTAGTGACGTGGATTTTGTGTAGTGTGTTTGAATTTTTGGTTGTTACTGCGAGCTGGGAGAGTAGGGGTTCAAGTTTGATGCTTTGATTGCTGCTTTGGTATTGATGCTTGATGCGTATGGAGTATGGCATCAGTGGTGATGCAATTCGATTTGGTTTTAGATTTTAAGGTATCAGTTGGTTGTTAATAAGTAGGGTTACTTCTCGTCTATTCTGGAAATCTTGGTTTGCCGCTAATCCCACGTTCTCTGTGGGTCGGAGGTGTCAGAAGTAGTAACCAATATAATTTGAAAATAACTAATGAAGCTGGTGAATTCCGTGTAACATAGCGTGTTGAGGAGAACTGCAGGTTGCAATTCCATTTAGGGTTTTTCATGGAGATTTCAAGTTGGATCTTTTCTGAGTGTTGGAGAATGATGTTGGCAGAGGGTGAAGGGGAGGTGTGCTACGAATTCTTTAAAGATGGCGGCTCATTCGTGGATTGGGCTGCTGCTGATGCTTTTGGTGGTTCCTTGGGCGAGCGCAGCAGTCTCAGAGAAGGATGTGCTTGTACTTACTATTGAAAACCTCTCCAAGACAATAATGGATAATCCCTTCATTGTTGTTGAGTTTTATGCTCCCTGGTGCGGACACTGTAAGAAGCTAGCTCCTGAGGTGAGTTTCGGGTGTTTCATGGGTACCTCGAAATGAAAGGTTTAACCAGCTTTGGTATTTTTCTATGAAATACTTGGTGTTTCAACTTAGAATTGTGGCCCTTTTCCTTTCTCTTCCGTTAATTTATGTGTATTGACTGATTGGTGCAATCGGTGGTCTACATGTTCGATTGTGATCATGTAAGCTGTTTAAGCTGGTAGTTTTAACTTCTGATTGATTTTGACTCTAAAGTGCAATTTTCGTAAAGATACGGTGCCATGTTGTAGTATTTCTTTCTAGTGTACAGAATGACTGAAACCAGATGTGTGAATTTTGCAGTATGCCAAGGCTGCAACGGAGCTTAAGAGCCACGATCCCCCAATTGTTTTGGCCAAGTTGGACGTAAATTCGGAGGAAAACAAGCCCTTGGCTTCTGAGTACGGGATCAAGGGCTTTCCAACTATCAAGATCTTCAAGAAGGGTGGGGGCATCGTGTCAGATTATAAAGGCCCCCGAGATGCTGCGGGGATTATCGCTCATCTGAAGCAATTGGTTGGACCACCTTCAGTGGAAATTACGTCAGCCAAGGAAGCAGAGGAATTAGTCAATAAGTCTCAGCTTACAGTGGTGAACCCACAACAACCGGATTTAATGTCGATCGTTTGTGCCGTTTTCAGAATGCCCCGATGAATTAATTACCTTCTCTACTTGATAATGCTGTGCAAGCAGTGTGCTCATTTTTTGCTTCAAAGCCACTTTTTGTCCTCATAGCTAATGCCAACCATGAATTCCTAGATCCTGCCCAATTTATAAATAGTATACGTTTAGTCTTTCTCATAGTATTTTCTAGGTATGGCTGATTGAGTTTGCATATGAATTTGATTACAGGTCGGTTTGTTCAAGAGTCTGGAGGATAAAGAATACTTGGACTTCATGACTGTAGCGGATGAATTACGAACAGATTACCAGTTTGCACATACTTTAGACAGCTCTTTTGTGCCCGACAAGGGTGTTGTACTTGTGGCTCCTGCAGTTCGTCTGTACAAGTGCTTTGACGAAGGTTTTAATGATGCTCAAGTGAGTCATCACTCTCAGTTATACGATGTCTTCAAATTCTCAGGTTGAGTGTGATTATGTGCTGCTTAGTGAGGTTGAACATGTTGTTTAGTGTCATGTATTAGGCGTAATCGTCCAATTTTGAGACTACAGAGAATTAGGAGTATCATGAGCTTGTGAGGGCTATCGTCACTTGTATCTGTCAAAATGTGTTGCTTTTTTAACGACTTATGCACCACAGCTTAGAGGTGTTTGGGATTGAGTGTCAAATAGGTGGCGTATTTTTTTAATGTTCTAGTAAACTGTGTTCACTTTGCAGGACTTGTCGGTGAAGGGGTTGAAAAAGTTTCTTGAAGAAAAGAGCGTTCCACTTGTCACTGAAATGAACAAAGACCCTACATCTCAGGCTTTCTTGAGCAAGTTCTTCAACACTGTTGCTACCAAGGTACTTCGCTGAATCTTAGTGGATTTATTCTCAACTGCGTATGCTTCTATACATTGTTTCTTGAAGTACTGTGATGAATCTCACTGGCGAACCTATTATCTTTTATTTATTCTAATGTGTGAATTCGTATTTCGGACAGGCTTATCTTCTCCTGGACTTGAAGGCTGATACCGCTGAGTCTTACAGGACCATCTACGGTGATTTGGCGAAAGCTTTCCAGCCAAAAGGCCTCAAATTTCTCATAGCTGATTCAAAAGAGAACGACAACGCTGTGAAGGTTGTTTTTAATGCAGCAACGATATTGCTCAAGGCTTCTTAAGAAGAAATTGTCGTTTTGGCTGCGTACGATGTTGTGGCTTTTCAAAGTTCTGTATAGGCTTGAATTAAAGTGTGTCTATGGTTTTTCTTCTGCAGTTTTTTGGTATCAAAGATGGTGGATTGCCAGCACTTGTTGTTCAGGATAAAGATAATAATAGAAAGTATGTGGTACACAACATCGAGGCTTCAGATATGCCTGGATGGTTACAAGATTTTCAGGTAAACTTTTCAGTGGGAGTCCTCTTTATGATGATACTCCTGCTTCTTTCCTCGTCAGGTACTGTGTCCAGTGATAACTTGAAAGACGTTATTTTGGTGTGCGTAACTATATTCATTTTTTACGTAGTAAGATTCTACAGCTTGACTTCTCTGTTTTACAGGATGGCAAGATTGAAGCATACGTGAAATCTGACGAGATACCAGTAAAAAATGATGAGCCCGTGAAGGTTGTTGTGAGGAAGTCTCTCAATCAGATGGTATTAGATTCTGGGAAGAACGGTGCGTCAAGGAACTTTCAACCTACTTTGATATGGAGATGATCTTTGACGGTGGTTGTATAGTGCACTGTCAGTCCCTGGTTGTTTCTACTTTTTCAATGCTCAGTGAATGTCTAATTAGAAGTATCTTATTTTCCGAGGTTTGGTTCTCATGGCCCATTGAATTGCCTTTGTAGTACCTGCCAGTGAGTCACGTTAATAATGCACTTATTCCCAAATAAGAAAATGATGAAAGTTATTTTCATCGCTGAACTTCATGAAAGTTCAGTGTCAAATTTCGCTTCTATAATTAGTTCATTGTTTTCTTTTGTTAATTGGAAAACATTTGAGGTGGAATGCCCTGCATATAATCCCTTCTTTGATCGAGCTGATGTATTCCATCACTGTACAATGCAGTGCTGCTGGAGTTTTACGCACCTTGGTGTGGTCACTGCAAAAAGCTAGCCCCTACCCTGGATGCGCTTGCGGCCGATTTTAAGGATGACTCCGATGTTGTTATTGCTAAGATGGTAAGTGACTCATTAGTCTTCTTCTTGCAGCTTCTTGGTAGTACTTTGACACCACTTCAAAAAACAATCCTCAGAATCATGCGTCCATAATCATGTCCCCTGGTTTTGGAGTCTTGAATGCAAATCTACGTGCAGTAGAATACCTGCGCTATGATTCATTGCCAATTTTGGGGAGGTTGTAGATGCATAGGGGAATATGTGTACACAGAATTTAGACCAGTGTTGTAGCTCTACTGCAGTTGTTTGCGGTATATTAACGTATTGAGTTTGTGATGATCCTCAGGATGCCACCGCCAATGATGTCCCTTCAGACCTGTTTGACGTCAAGGGCTTCCCAACACTCTACTTTCGCACAGCCACTGGAGAAAATATTCGATATGACGGTAACCGCAGTAAAGCTGACCTCTCGAAGTTTATTAAGAAGCACAGAACAACTGCTCTTGAAACTGCAGGTTCTACGGGAGAGGGTGGTGATGCTAAGGATGAACTGTAATTATCAGTTTGGCATCCAATTTAGCGACAATAAAATTTTCCATTTGTAAGCAGATTATGTATGTTGGCTATAATACTACTTGCTGGTTCCAAATCAGACCTCATGTGATGGCTGTACGTCGTCCGTTTTGATGTGGTTTGGACAAACAGTTGTCTCTGCTCTTCAGATCTTTTGTGCCCACCTTGTGCGGTTATGGTTCTATTAGTTTTGGATATAGTATTTTTGAAGCGGCCTAGCAGATTGATTAGAGCTGGTGTTGAGGTCCACGCCACTGATGAGCCGAAGGTCCATTAGTTCCACTCGGCAGACTCAATAACCATCTAGACAGTTCTTCAGACATCTTATTCTGCCCTCTCACCTTAGACATCCTGCATTGATTGTTTCAGTTGCTGAAAAAGAGCTCATAAAAACGGTATCTAGGAGTTCATAGGCTACAATGTATTGCTTATTCAATCACCAAGGCCAATACTCTTTCACCGACTTTGGATTCTCCAATGATGATAAAGGGTCTTATTACTCAGGATTACAGTATGCAAACAGCCTCCCATTCATGAGTGTTCTGACTCTTTGGAATTGTTTCTAGCTATTCAATGTGTGGAAAAATGAAACTACTTATCATGTTGCTTTGACTTCTGAATTCTTTTTATTTGAGTTTGTCATGATATTGTTGGTTGGAGAGAAGCGATAGTTGTTGGTTTTATGATTTGACATGTGATTTATTTATTTGTTTATTTTTCTTTCTAACCAATAATTATACTTGGATTCAATGATTCTAAAAACTTGACAAGATTATAGGACAATTTTTTGATTTTATACATGTAGAGAGGAGACTTATTTAGCAAACTAAATGATTGCTGTCTTTATAAGAATTTAATTAGGTAGTAGAATTAGTCTTAGGTAGACTGCAATATCAGACATTGTGAAATTTTGATGTGTGTTTGACTGAATTTTTTAGGATATTTTTTAAAATTCACATATCAATTGGCATATAATTCACAAAATAAAAAATGCAAATGTTTCAGAAAACCCAGCTAATCTCTTATTAGTTGGAATTAGGTCAATTAGGGAATTGGCAACAATTAATAGTTACTCTTTTTTGGTTGGAATTCAACCAAGGGAATTTTAAGGACAATCACCAATTTCTTTTTTAAATAAGGTAGATATACATGCCTACATGTAACAAAATTTCCTTGAGTGTGTCACCATAATTGAAAATATTGATGTTTACATGGAGGTTAAAATGAGTGACAATTTACAACTTGAAGTGATGTGGATGTCAGCACTTTGTTTTAAATTTTTAGATGAGAAGAAAAAGAAAAGAAAAAATAAAGCATTTATTGGAAGTTGAGTAGTTTATTTACACCACAACAAAATGCTCTCACAAAACAAACTAACTTTACCATATAGAAGCTGTAAAAAGAAAATACATTAGTCTGTTAAAGTACTCATACATACAAAAATTATGATGAACTAATTATATATATATATATATATATAGTTCATGCCAATATATAATTCATGGTGCAATTTTACAAATCATGTTATGTCATTTATCTTGTCTTTATAATACATCAGGTTGATAAAAACATTCCACAATTATGATCTACTTGAAAACACTTTCAGCCTGTTTTTCTTACTATTCTTCACTTTGCTACCATCTCGTCACTGACGCTATTTGGATACTATTGTAAGAATATTAGTTCAATTTATGACATAAAGATTCACAACTTTCAGAAGCACAGTCAATAAATCAACTCGTGCATCCATTATTATGATAGGGCTTCTACTACTAATAATAATAAAAAAAAAACTCACAATTTGCCATGCCCCCACATGAAACTTTTAAGCATGAAAAAGAAATTAAAAAATGTAATAAAAATGATACGATACAACTTTTATAAGAAAGAATTGTAACTTTGTAGTCGTAATGAAATCATCAATTGAACAGCAAGCTCATTCTTTGACCCTCACCAATGCAAACTCTCAAATCAGATGTGTGCTATGGGTTACAAATGCTTGCTTGTACAAAAACCAAGCAGTTCTTTGACTAACTTTCATAAACGAAAGATACATCTCAAATTGTAGGATTACAGTACTTTCCGTACCAAAGCATAAGTATATATATATATATATATATATAAATGTGTGTGTGCGCGCGCGCGCGTGTACATATTTGTATGTGTTAGTATATATATACACACATACACAACAAACTTTGATAGATTGCTTGGAAGTAAGCGTGTGCGGCGTTGACGTTGGGCAGATCGGATCGTTTTGAATGAGCAACACGAAGATTGTGATCTCCACACTCGATGATCGATGAACGAGAACCACCAGGATTGTACTCCATTGCAGGGACGAGATCAGATTAGATCGACAACAACAGACGAAGCAGTGGGCATCGACAACTGGTCTGTGCTCAGGAGCATTCTTCCAGAGCTCCTGACTCCAATCGATCCACTTTAACGACACAACCATGACTTGGTGATAAGTTTCAGCATCGCCGGATTTGCCATCGTGGCATCCAGCACCATGAGACCTAGACCATCCTGTACCGGTCATTGCTGGTGCGGAGAATGGTTCGCCGAGATCGAAGAAGGCGACCACAATTGTGCGTTGTCGATGCTGTCGTGTCGACGACGAACTCGTGCGCTACCGCATCGTCGTGCGTGGCGTAACTTCGATCGTTGTATGAGTGTACGATCCGCACTTCACCTGCTCAGAATGTCAAGATTGGAACCCTTTCGAAACAGGTGTTGAGATGCAGGACCCACATTAGAAAAATCGATCGTGGGTACCTGAACAGGCTTGTTCCTTTGCTCATTTCGGATCATCTAGGGTGTAGGCAAGGAAGTCAAGATGGGTGAATTTTGCTGCGATGAATCCAAGAGAGGGCTTGAATATGTGTTGCAGTCTGCACCCACGCTCGCCTCGGCCGTCGTCGTTGTTCGGCTACAGTCCCGTAACCACACTGTGGAATAAGTTCGACATGGGATATCTGCTCCAACAATCTAGTACTGTGGCATCGATGACAGCGTAGCGCATCGTCTATAAATAGTGTGTTCCGTTCGTTGCTAGATTAGTCGTCATTGAGAGATAAATGAAACGTGAAACATGAGTTACCAACCTCGGCGGGTGGAATTCCTCTTAATCTTGCAAATCTAGCACGTGTCTTGTTGTTCAACTTGTTTCCTCTGATTTATAACTGCGAAACACAACTGTCATCACAGTTTCTCAAAATTTTCGACAAATTGAATCGGAATTCGTAAAATGATATGGCAGTAAAGTCAAGGTTCTGCAAGTAGTATACTAACCATTCTCTTTAAATAAATAAAAATATCACATGTGGAAGCCTTAGAATATATGTGTTCATGTTTTGTGCATACTATTTTACAGTTCATGGCTAGGAATCATCCAATGAAAGTTTTTTCGAAAGAGGTTTCTACATTGACAATGTGTGGAATATTCATTTTGAATTTTCGAACGCTCAAAATTTTCAGATTGACAGTCAATAGGAAAATAATATTCCTGAAGTTAAAAACACAAATAAATTCACTTCTTTCAGTTCACTGGAGGTACAAATCTTATTCCGATTTCTATGAATTCCGTTCATAGAACTACAATGTTGTAGCCTACGATGAATGAAACCCTCGACTAAAGAAGATGTATATTCAACCATCTACTGCGTTTTATGATGCTGAAGCATTCGACACAAATGAATTCTGTTACGAAAAAGGGTCCTGAAACCGAAACTAAACACGAAAAGTGGTACTCTTGCTAGGCTAATTCAATGTCGAATCCCACTTGAAATCTTCAAATGGAAACAACGATTCTTCAGGCACCTAGATGCAGAAATTATCAGCAGCATAATTCCTCTCTGAAGTGGGTTCCTTCGCTGAGGCACAAAACCTGAACAGTTCGATCAAGTCCAGCACTCAAACGAGGCAACATTTTTCTAGTTGTAAAGCCTACAACCTTAGCATCCCCGAGTGCCATGTGACAAATCCCAGAACTATCAGGCGGCTCGTAGCGAATGGTGCAATGAAACAATGCTAGTTGTAAAAAAAAAGTATGAACACCGACCTCTCCAAAATGCTGGTAGACCAGACCCAAGTCCCAGCTTCAACAGCAAAGCCCTCCTCCTAAGAACATCACAACCGGATCTTCATCGATGGAAGAAATGACTCCTCCACAATGTTCGACGCATTCTCTCGTCATTGAAGAAGAGAAAAACCATTCACGAACGACCACGGTGTCTACGATTCCGGCTATTTAGGTGGTCACCTAGTTCAGAAATCCTCTCTAACCATTGGAAAGGAACCATATGTAAGTGCAGGAGATTCATGCTTGCGATCACACCCCCACGGTCTCACAGTTCTCTTCGTGGGCCGAAGTTCACTGCTTGTCGCTCCCGGGCTCAACCGCTAGTGTCGTAAAGGATCTTGGCTTTGGTGAACTTGATATCCTGAAGCCACGGGCCTGGCGGTTGCACCAGCGTCACGATGACACTCTTGACGTGGTCGAGGCCCAGGGCTTTGAGCTTCGGGCCGACGGCGACTCTCCACACCCTCTTCGGGTTATACTTTGCCTGCCCCACGTGAGGAATGAAGTTGTAAGTTCCCACGAACTCTGGGCAGATGGCGCCATGCGTGAAGTTCACTTGCGGGAAGAACAGGAAGGCCTTCCAGTGCGCTTGCAGGGTGATGTTCGGAATCTGGAGTCCCGAAATTTCGAGGACCTCTGTTCCGACGCTGCTTCGAGCAGGGCGTCGCACTTTGAATGTGAGCGGGGTGATGTCCAGGATGTCCTTGCTGCTGTGCTTCGGCGTCGCTGCGATCAATCTATTGACCGCAGACTTCGATGCTGGATTGCAGCGAGGAATGTTGAACTCGTTTCCGGCTGCCACTCCATTGGTCTCCCACGGAGTCGGTGAATCCTCAAACTTGTACCTAAACATGAACAAATATCCAAACGTGAGCAAACTACATGAATACATACATTGTCTCCAGTCATTGATCTGAAATCCGCTTTTCGAAACACAGTTCGACGAGTTGACGGCTTTGCAATTGACAGTTTGGAGTGGAATTCGCCCAGAAAAACGATGATCGTGGGTGAATTTGTCGTTCTAATTTGTCACCATCTCATTGGCAATAGTTACGCGGAGAATGGACAGTGAGTTTACCTGAGTAAATCGGTGTCCAGAGTCTGGGAGACATTCATCTTCACAAGGTTTCCCTTATGGTCATAGAATGAGAACTGGGATGTCACAAAATCGGAATCCATGGGGTAGGTTCGCTTGCCACCTCGAAGGTGGGTCCACAGGCACCAAAGGCGATCGACGTTCGCGTGGTGAGCGTAGAAGACAGGGTCGAATGCAGAACGGCCAAAATTACCCATGTCATCGAATGGACGGAAAGGCGCCTCAGCGTTGGGATCACCGACCCACGCATGAATGGTCCCGTGGGGTTGATCCTCAAATGTCCCAGGGCCGCCACCCCCGAAGTCTCCCAATCTGTAAGGCATTCCGTAAAAAAGCGCTGGAGTGTCGCCACCCAAAACCATCTGCGTATACTGAAGGCGCGTGTTCTGGACTCGAAGGAAGTCGGCGGTTTTGTTGGTGCAGCCGCCAATTGAGTCCAGATCCACGATGAAGGGCGGTCTTGAGCAGATGTTGCGATTCGGGTCGTAGAGTGAAGAGTTGGGATTCCAGTAAAAGCTGGGAATCGCATTAGGCAAGGGTTCGGTTGCCTCGGGATTGTCCCAATTCCAATAAGGCAAAGCGAACGTATCATCTCCAAGCAGCTCCCCTAGAATCCTTTCATGGAAATACAAGAACATGCGATGCCAAGGTAAGAAGAACCAGCCGTTGTGGACCTCCAACGGGTAATCGGCGCCTTTGAAGTACAGACCATTGTCGCAGTACAAGCAGTGCAGATTCATCTGGTTCAGCAATGAGCGAGGGTCAGTGTCGGGAAGCGCCCGCATGAGCTTGTACCCCTTCTCTAATCTGGCGATTTCCTTCTTGGTGAGTAAATGCGCGGGGCGCCGGACGCGAATGGGAAGATTGGGCTCGTACTCGAATTGTCGAATACCTGGGGTCCCCGTGTATGGCTTTGGCATGCAACACCTCTCCAGGGTGTTGCAGTCTTCGGGTAGATTGGCTGCAGGCATCGGTCCACCGGGTCCTCTAGGTCTTGTGGTTGCTTCCGTCCAGGCAAACACCATGGACAGAACTGCCGCGTAGATAACACCCTTCATGGCCGAAATTGGGACCCGCCGGAGCTGGTCCATGACTTTCATGCGTCTCCTCCTTCTACCTCCTGGACGAGCTCGGGAGTGTGCCAACCATGAACTACACATTCATTTTTCAGCTGTTGGGCGAGTGGTCGGTTCCACTGCCAGACAGAACAGGTTCACAAAAAATTTAATCTCCCTCACAGAATCGGGGTCGACGCAAAAATCAATGGTTCTCAAGTAGTATTTGATTGGAAAGACGTCATGCTGGAGACACTGTGTCGGTGGACGTAATGTATCTCCACGAGTACCAAGCCCACAATATGAAGATCAATTTCAAACCTGTCTACCTTACAAACAGTATAAACAACAACACTCCTGGAGTGTTGTATCAATGGGACTTTTGACCTCTGGATACACCAGGTTAACGTATCATACGAGCATGCTTTTTGTAATGAAATCAATCATGCGATCAAATCATAATGCACAAAACGTGAGCCTTACATGATCAAGCTTCACTATCTTTTGCGATGGCGGCACGAAGTCCCAGTTTGCGCACGCCGATCCTAGCTGCTTCGTTTCGGTGGGTCTGCCCTAGTAGGTGGTACCTGACTCAATTTCGAGCACTCAACTGATGCAAAACGATTAATGTGTGGGGACTGGGGGGTAAGAAGTAGGTTATATACTGTCGTCGGAGCCTGGAGCCTCATTATTCTTAAGGTTCCGGGGTAATCTCCTAAAGCATCGACCTAGTATCTGCTGGCTCTATGATTCAAGGCGGAGAAAGCACTGCAATTCCACAGTCAAAACTTGGCGTTGACAGAACCAGTGATCAAGTCAGCAATCCTTATCTGCTTTACTACGCATGATCCCTTCATCTCGGAGACCATTTTCTTCCTTTACCGGCACCGCAGCTAGGTCGTCCCGTGTCCCCGTGGAAGTATAACTCGTTCTTTAATTCTTGAGAGCTCATATAATTCTAAATATTATGAACAGAAAGACCTTCCTTTAGAGCTGCTTTTGCCTTCCTTCCATAATTCGAGAAACCGCATGGAAGCGTGTCCAGCGTTACATTGAACTTAACCTCACTCATTGCTGCCGTTAGTCAAAAGCGCTCCGAGTACTCGTGACCGATCCGAGTATATGCAATTAAATTTAAGCGGGTAGCCCTTGATAGCGAAATTTTGAGCTTGTTTTTATGAACAACTTGCACCAGAGATTACCTACCCACCATTTGGAAAGTACACATCCAGATCGACTTGCTCCGATGTTTTCATGTCTTTGCCAAGATGCTTGTCGCAGGTTGCGTCACAACCAGGGATTGAACAGACCTGTTGTAGCTTTCTAATAAATTCCTAAACAAATATTTTGCCTAGTAAATGCTGGGCTCTGACATCACGTAGACTTGCCCGAGAGTTGTCTCCACACTCTCGTCTGTTTGCTAAATTTGGAGTGCGCCCACAGTTGGACACGGATGTCGCCGATTCAGCCACGTCTGCAGACGGTAATTTTCTACTCACCCCGGATGTTTGGACTAGATTCAACGCATTGATAAACTGCAGATAACCTGGTCAATAAGTTTACTCTAGCGGGGGGGACGTCAACAGGTTAAGACATTTGCCGCTAGCCGCTCAACCCTCACCATCAATTTCGGGAAGTTCTATTAATTTTATAAGAAATTGGTTCGTCCGAATTTTTCGCTGATAAATGAATTATATATACACACATATATATATTTGTACGTATACGTTTCTTGTTGGGGGTTGCCTTGGGCAGAACGATGAGCTGAAATTTTCCAGACCCCGTTTATTTTATAATGTTTCAATACAATTTTATGTTATGTAATGTTTTTCCCTCCTCATCCAGTTCAATGATCACCGCGGAAACCATTGTTCACGCATGCGTGGCCGCGTCTTAAGCTTGCCTCCAACTTCAAGGTTTTCGACATGCTATGTCTATGAAAACTCTCCCCGAAGACCTGTGACCGATGACTTTCAAACGCGAACGTTGAACTGCAATGTCAGATTCTGTACAAATAACGAAATTTCTACAAAAGGAACGGATGACTATGTAAAGGATCCTAGATCCAGGTTGACCTCGTTGCAGAGGCTGTTCACGTGGCCTGCTCCATGGCACCATGTTTGGCTACAGACTCCACCTCCTCCTCCATCTGTGAAGCATGCGTTTGCAACGAAGCCTCTGCTGACGTAGCTAGTCTAGTTGGTCGCTATTGCCTCTAGCAGCTGGTACTCAATTTGGCACGTGCTTTAATTTCGGATCAAATTTCCTTACTCCTTTTAAATTCCAGACTTCGTTGGATCTGTACATTTTCGTTCATGTGAAACAGCCGAAGCCGATGTACGAGATTCGTTTAAAAATCACGCGAAAAACGCAAGATGTGCGAAACACGATGGTCGCAATTCGATTCGAATTTAGTTTTCTGTGAGATGGTTTCCTTGATAAGAAACAAACTTGGACATCAAGATGCTTCCCGTCTGCAAACATGCCGGAGCCTTTGTGCTTGCAAGTCAATCCTTCATTCTGCCACCCGGTACGTCAAACACTTAGTCAATTGAAATGGCTGTAGCAGCAAGGCATCAATCCATGGTTGACAACACGGCCAGCGGTTTTGCAACTCCAACTGACAAGGATCTATTAAAAGAGCATTTGCTTGGTTCGAAGCAACTTGAGAGGACATTCTGCGTTGCAGCTACAACTGGCCCCATTCAGGTGCTTGAATGGAGCTGCTGTTGCATGGATGACGATTGGATGTCGAAATCTCCAGGGGGGGGAGGTATAGCTTTTGCTATGTTTCAGCATTTGCTTTGGAGAGACGACACCATTGGACGCACGGTACCAAAAAAATAAGTTTTTATGTGTGCTAGGAAGTCTATTGTCGGAACTTGTGGAGGCCTAATTGTGAGAATCGGCCGGCCCTGATTGGGTTTCACAAGCCCTCTCCGTTGCACAGTTGGCAAGGGAAATGCATGCCTCTCATAAGTGTCAATAAATAAAAAAAAATATATATATATATATATATATATATAACTTTGTGCATGCCACTCAGAAGTGTCAATAAATAAATACATATATATATATATATATATATATATAACTTTGTGTATCTATTGTATTAAATAGTTCAAGGGACAAACCAACTAAATAAATAAGAAGAGACAAAAACCATTCTTAATTGGTTATATGCATCACTCCATCATTGTTTTCATCAAAAGTTTTATTTCATTGTTTTTATCAAAATTTAACTTAATTTTCCAATTCACAAGGCCCTAACATGCATGAAAATGATCCACTCACATTGCAAGACATTAATTTAATGTTTTGTTCATGTTGTAGGACATTGGTATAAGGTTTTGCTTATGCTATAGGACATCAAGTGTATATGTGAGTGCATCGGGTATCTATATGTGTACATCATTGCAAGATATTGTGTATGCAAGACATCATGTATGTGAGATATCATGTGTATTTTTTGTGAAACTCTTATAATACGAAGATCTTACAAAAGTCAATTGAAATACATTCAAGGTAGAGTAGAATCCAACAACAAGGTTGCAATTTTAGAGTACATTGGTTGAACTAATGTAGGGTAGCAATACACATCCAAAGATGTAATATATGAAGTAGAATTTAAAGGCCTTAATTACAATAAAAAGAGAAGTCAAGTTTATATCAAAAAAAACTTCATATCTCTTTTGTACAAATTTGTGTAACTGTTCATCTTTTCTTTTTATGCTAAGATTTTTTTATTTTAGTGTGATTTGAAAGGTATTTTGTTCTATAATGCAATTGTTCTATGAATCACTTTAATTGTCCTAAGCTTAGTAAGATTTCTTTAGGTTCCAAATTATATGCAAACTATATAATCTACCATAGCTAAGGTGCACTTTCATAGTACTTCCAAGCAACAATTAAGAATATTGGAGAAGGATAATGCATAGACAATAAAGAAATGCCTTTCAAAATATACATTTCTAGTGCATGTAAAATATTATATTAGAAGGACATGCTTTGTTTCTATAACTAACCACAATTCTAAGAAGGTTGGTGGTGGTTTGATTCATGAAATAAGCCTATGATTTTAGCCATGAATATATCATAGACATATATATTTATCTAGATAAGAAGTGTTGTGTAAAAAGTAAATGTACGTAGATTTAATATTATCTTGTGGCAAAACTTCTTAGAAGCTTTATAGACTCGTATTTGACTTTATATATGTTTATAATTAATTGGTAGGTTAAAAACTTGATGAAATAGGGCATAGATAGGATATTTGTATTATTTGTACATAGAGGTATGTAATTGGAGTCATTTTTAGAAATTTTCTAGAATTGAAGTTAGAATAATGATTTATGTAGGATCTACCATAGAACCTTCTAGAAAGGCTTAAGGCGGTTATCATGGTCGAGCCTATCTATAGAATCTTTTAGAAGGACGATTATTTTGATAGAGCCTACTATTAAAAAAATTCTAGAAAGTTCCAAGATAGTTGGATAAAGTATAAATAGGACTAAATGAGGCCATTTGGACATTTGGTCAAGTATAGCTTCAGACTCTTTTTTTCAATAAAATTTGGTTTTCTTATTTTGTTCTATTTGATTTTGTTTGATTCTATTCTCTTTTACTCGGTCTTATCTTTTATGTTCTATTCCGTTCAATTACTTTCAATTTTATTCTAGTATGCTTGATCTTTTGTTAAGTCAAGATCTTTGTTGTTATAGATTTCATAAGGTTTTAGATCTTAAAAAATTTAGTCCTGTTTCATTGGTATTAGAGCTCGTATTAGTCTTTTCTTTGGTAGTGTATTGATAGCCACCATTTAATTAAAAGTCAATTGTGGTGATCACATTGAATACTATTTTAGGACTATAATGAGCTATTTTAAGAAGTTATCTTTAAGAAAAGAAGGCATTACAATAGTAAAGTTTACAAGAAAATTACAACATAGGAAATATGGTGGAGCAATCTCAAATAGAGACTCAAATATAACACTTCTTAGATCAAATAGCTATTCTACAAGGGCAAATAAAAGCTTCTAAGATAAGGGAGTTGACATCTGCTAGGCTGAAATTGAACAAGCCCAATACATACTTAGGAACCTTAAGACAAGAAGGTGTATGCCAATGGCTCTTCAATATATGACAATACCTCTAATTATTTAGGAGAAATAGTAGCAAAGAGATTATATATGCTTCCAATTATTTGAAAGGTGTAATAGCCATTTGTCGCAACATTGAATTCTAAGCTATGGAATTCAAGGCAGGTTTTGTGAGTAGGAGGAGTTTGAGACCGAGCTTAGGAATCAATTTTGGTCCATCAATGCGAGGAAGTTAACATGTGATCAATTGATTAACTTTACACAATCCAAGTAAGTGTAAGATTATGTCTCTCGGTTTAAGTTCATGTGTCTCCAAATTGACAACGTTTCAAAGGTGGAGATGATGGATTGATTTGTATGAGGATTGAAACATGTGGTCCAACGAGAGGTGGAATTAAAGGATCTACAAATATTTAAGGATGTAGTTAGGATTGCATAGAGGGTTGATGCTATAGATTTCAAAAATTATGGAATACAACCTATAGTTTTAGAATCTTATGCCATTAGCCAACACTATGGCGCAACAATCAATGCTAATAGAAATTGATGTATTGTAAGGACCATTGACACCACAAAGATGACAAATATTGATGCAAAAGAGATTGTACTTTTATTATTGGGAGTAAAACCATCAGATCAGAGACTATTCAAAGTGTCAAAATTCAAGAACTAACAAATCACAGTGAATTTACAATCTCAAGGGCCACTAAATAGATGAAGAATTGGAGCAAAAAAAATGGAGCTCCATAATAAAGACATCCATGACCAATATTGGAAATAGTTGCTATTTTTTAAAAACAAACAACATAGCTTTTGACAACTATTAGAAGAATGAACTGGTATGTCTAATGGGTCAATTAAGAGGAGAGCCATGTCGAGTGCTTGTGGATTGCAGCTTTATAAAAAATTGCATTTCAATGATAATTACCAATCGACTTAAGATTAAAATAAAGATGATCAAAGAAGAGAATATATATCCTTGTAGATGATCAAGAGAACATGTTGAACAAGACAAGTGAAGAAAAAATCCTAAGGCTAAGTGATACTTATGCCTTCAGAGAGAAGTTCAAAGTAATAAAGGTTACATATGATGTCATCCTTGGTATATTATGGCTAGAGGTGGAAAATAAACAAGTCAGTTGGTTAGCAAGGACAATCTCTTTCAAATATAGAAGATGCATGATGATTCTTTGTACCTCTCTATATTGAGTGAGATAGCAAAATGAACTATGATTAAAAAATTACTTGTAGAAATGATCTTTATGAAGAAGAAAATATAGCATAAGCAACCAATATATGTGGTGGTTTCAAATCTTGTGTTGGTGGTAGAAAAGATGGCCAAAGGAATAAAAAAAGGTCAAACAATTCATATGCAAATATTGGAATGTCTTTCCAATTGACTTACTTAGTGGCATTCCACTTCATTGAAGTACCTCCTTTTAAATAAAATTAGTGCTTGGAGCCAAACTAATAAGTCAATCAATTTATTACTTAAAATCTAATGGATTTGAAGAATTGTGAAAGTTATTAGATGAATTCTTAGAGAAGGGCTTCATTTGAAAAATCATGTTGCTATGGAGAGTACCTATACTCTTTGCATCTAAAATAAATGGTGGATTTTGACTTTGCATTAATTATCATGACCTCAATAAGCAAATTATTAAGAACGCATATCCACTTTCACATGTGGATGATCTTCTTGACCAACTTTGAAGAGTAACTATATTTAATAAATTAGACCTTTAGAGTGATTATTGGAAAATCTTCATTGCCAAAGAAGATATAAAAAAGACAACATTCTATATGCACTATGGATATTTTGAGTGGCTTGTATTGCCTTTTAGCCTCATCAATGCTCCAACCTCTTTTATGAGTCACAAGAACAGATTATTTTAGGACTTTTTGGATAAGTATGTGGCCATCTTTATTGATAATATCCTGGTTTGTAGTAAAATCTATAAAGAGCATGAGCAATATCTATGGAAAGTGCTACATTGACTACGTGACAGTTTCTTCTATTACAAGCAATAGAAGTATGAACTTTGGAAGTTAGAGGTCACCTTTTTGGAGCATGTAGTATCTTCCAAAGGTATGCGCATGGAAATAGACAAAATAAAAGTACTAGAGGATTGGGCAACTTTTAAGGATGCTTCTAAAGTCTACTCATTTTTAGGCCTTATTAGATATTATGGCCATTTTGTTTGGTGATTTGTATACATTTTTGCCTCATTCCTAAGCTTATTAGAAAAAAGGTGGTCCATTTGAATGAAAACTTGAATAAAAAATGACCTTTGAGGAATTGAAAGAGACACTAATTACTACTCTAATATTGCAATTATGTGATCTCAACCTTCTATGTACACTTGGCATTGATGCTTCGGAATTTGCTTTTGGCATAGTTCTTCAACAAGACTTTGGTAGAGACTTGCAACTTTTGGCATATAAATCACACAAACTCACAAAAAGTAAATTGCAATTATTTTGCACACGATCAAGGGCAACTAGTAATTGTACATGCCACAAAGGTGTGGTAATACTATTTGTTGGAAAATTCAGTAATTGTTTGGACTGACCATTGGACAGATACAAATTATGATTTGTATCTGAAAAATATGAAATCACAACATTATCGTTGGAAAGAGCAGTTGCAGCTTTTTGACATTCAACTTGAGTATAAGCAAGGATAATAATACATTATGCGAGACACCTTATTACGCAAATCCAACTTAAAATCTAAATTACATGACAAGGTAGAAGTTGCCACTATATAGTAAATTATTAAAGCCATACCTTCTTTGCCATTTCATGATTGACTTCATCCATCTCCATCTCTGTTTCTTATTCTCCTCCTTTCTTCTTAATTTCCTGTCTTAAACACCTTTCATCTTCATTTCCATCCTTTATTCCTTGTTCTTCAATGTTCTTCACAAACAATCAATATAAACTATCATACTCCATCTTCCATGCTTCTAAGTCTAATGCATCATAATATATTAACCAATTCCATTTTTACATTCCAATCAATAATGTTATGACTCCTTAATCCATTCTATAAACACGTCTCATATCCCATCTAAGAATTTTACTTGAGCTTGCAATAGAAATTGTATACAAAAACAATCTCAATAGTAGTCGATTGAGTATAGCTTGAACATCCTTAGTACAAAGTTCTTTTCACTCCACATTTTGGAAAATGAAAGAATGGCTTAATAATACTAAGGCTATCACTCCTTGCCAAAAATGGTTATTAATTCTTAGAACTCGCTACAACATTATATATATGAGCACAAGACCAATCCTCTTTGTTAATTATCAGCCACCAAACTCACAATCTTTGACAATTTGCTTACCATTTAATACTGAATGACCCTCCTTGGTACCTCTTCAAATAATCATGTCACTAAAAAAATAACCTCCATTCCTCATTCATCTAAATAATATACCAAAGAATTCCAATAGTATCCAAATATTTCCTTGCAAAAGTTGGTATTGGATTCAAAGAAGGCAATGAGCAGTCGGCACAAAGAATGAAGGAAGAGAATAAGGATAGAGAGACTTCAAGACAAGGGACAGAGAAGTAGGGAGGAGAACTGGACATAGGACTGAGAGATGGAGATGGCTAGAATCAATTGTTAGATTGCAAGGAGGTGTGGTTTAACAACTCCCTATATTTATACATGTGTTTTGAACATGTTCTAACACAATTATCCAATTGTAATTTGTCAAATATTTTTAATCACTGCTTACAGCCAATGATTTTCCAAAATATATGCAAAACGTGGTATGTTCTACACAATCATTTCCATACAAGATCAAAGCATCAAATATGAAACCATCGACGAACTCCGAGGCTTATCTTCACAGCTCGGTAATGGACACCACAGGGAGTGAAGGCGCCGCGGAGATCACAAGGTCAAAGCCCGGCAATGGCAACGAGAACCAATCGAAGAACCAAGGGCCGACGAGGGAAATGTTAGGCAGGCCTCAGGAAGGGATTGATGAATCGCTACCAGGCGCGGTAGCATTACCTGTAACAGCGCATGAACCCACATCGAGCAGCAGCAGAACTTTATCTCGTGCTGCCCGTGCAAAGCTACTTTTGGAAACCAAGCGCCGCCGAGGTTTCCCGCTACCTGCCAATTCACGCCGCCTCCCCCCACCCACGAAGAATTCCACCGTCCACGGTGCCCACCCCCGAATACCAAATACTCGTGCTAGATAACGAATCCGAATCTGAACCCAGAGTATTGTTACCTTCAAACGAGGCCGTAAGGTGAGGGGCAGGCACCCAACATGCAGACCTAGCAAGGAAGAAGTGCAATCAGGAAGCTAGCAAGGCAGTATTGATGGTACCACCAAGAGAACTCCAGGTGCTGCAGGCCCGGCAGGCATGAGTGGCCGGGACAGCGCCGTGCGCCAACTGGAGACTGCGAGATCGCAACACCAGGAAACTAATCTCGCCTTCGGCAACAAGGGTCCCACCCGCGTTGTTGACATTCCATCAGCCACCAGTGGTCCACGGCAGCGCCTTCGTGATGGGCTTCACCGCGCCAAGTAACTGGGGTCGGGGAGGTCCAGGCGCAACAGTTGTGAGAGCTCGTGACGCTATCGCCATCGCGATCGTCACCCAGGTCGCTATCTTGTCACCGAGTGCTTGGATTTCTAGACCTCCGAAGGCAGATTTTCCACCACCATCGACACCCCCCACTTGTGCACTGGTGGTGTTTCCAATTTCGTTACGCTCGCATCGACATGGTCACCTAGGAAATTCAACCTGGGTTGTGCCGAATCCGACTGTTCAGGGCGTAGTGTGCAAAAGCTACCTAAAAGGTGCGCTAATCCATACGTCTGATCACATGGATGGCTCCATCACTGGATTCCCTTTGGTGGTGCATTATTGGTGCAGCAATAGTAACGACCCAGTTTTTTTTTCTTATGTTTTTTTTTTTTTTTTTTTTTTTTTTTTTTTCATCAATTGCTGATCGATTAGGGAAAAATAACAGCGAGTGAGTAGGTGAGTGAGACCCAGGCCTACGGTTCATCGCGGTCGGTGATGCCCGCTACTCTTTGCCCTTCACGCATCAGTAGTATATGCATCTTTTGTACACAAAGCTACATCCCCATCTTATCCGTGTTTTCACAATCATTAGGTTTTTCGCTACTTTTTATACCTCCTTTTTCATTCATTTATTTACATTTATATGTGTGTGTGAGAATGTGTATAGTGTAGGTTTGAATGATTAGATGTTGTGTAGGTTTGAGAAACTAGCCATGAATGAGTGTAGAATGAAATGGTGTAAATTAAAGGACTATGGTATGTTGCAAAGGTGTGATGGTCTTTTCCATTTTTTTGTGTATGAGTTTGCATGTTTAAGAAGTTAGAAAGGAAATTGAATTCTTTTTTAAAGCAAAAGAGTGAATGTCTAAGTGAAATAGTAAAATTTCGTTCTTTGTGTTTACTTAAAAGAAACCTATGTAATTTCATTAGCTTATTTTGAATTAATTTTAATGTTGAGAAAAATGAACAAATAAATAAATAAAAACTGCATGTTAAAAAACTTAAAATTGGAATTATTGATATAAATATAAATAATAAAATATTATTGTATATAAAATATATTTAATTTCCTAAATTCATAAGAATACTCAACTAAGAATTTAAGATTAACTTTTAAGAAAAAAAAATTTAAATAACATGTAAAGCTCAGAAATCAAAATGAAATATTTAATTTTTTTAAATTAAATTTTCTAAAATATTCATAAATTCATAAATAATGACAAGAAAAAATTATATTTTTAATAGTATTTTTCATATAAATGCTGTATGTTTTATATTATTTATATAAAAATATAACTAACTAATTTTCTTCTGATTGATCTATTTGTGTACTTTGCATCAAAAAAATTAATAACTGATTTAATTCAAAATAAGACAATTTTTATTTATTAATATTTTATGTTCAAAATTATATTAAAACAAGAGTCTAATTTATATTATGCACAGGAAATTTATTACTTTATAAATTCAAGAAGTGTTTAAACTGACTTTTAATACTTATGGTTTTTTCTTAAAGCTAATGCAATTGTATTAAATATAGCATTTACTTTCAATTTCTATTTAATATAAAATTTAAGTAATCAAAGATTTAGTATAATTTGTAGGCTTAGCTTAAAATATCAAATGCTTTCTTGTTTTATTTTTTAGTATATTAGATTATATTTTCTTATGATTTTATTTTAAAATCAATATTTGAATTACTATAATATTATCTGAACATATGATTTTTTAAATAGAAACTACTATAATATTTTTAAAATTAAAAAATAAATTAAATTAAAATAAAATATATTTTAGTATTTTTATAATTTAAAATACACATATGTAGATTAGTGTTGATTGTTTTGTTTTTATTGTTCAAAAAATATAGATAGATAGATAGATAGATAGATATTCACATAAATTCTTATATATGTATTATATATTTTATAAATATTTAATTAATACATGTATATATATATATACATATACTTAATAATTTAGTTGTCAAATCACACTACTACATATACATTTGTATAATGCACTTAAGATGGTTTTTATTCTATAAAAGTTGTGGAAATATATATAAAAAAAAAAGAGTAAATAAATGAAAGTGAAAAAAAAGTATGGACTAAATATAATTGGATAGAATATAAAGAGACAATTTGATATCCAATAAATAGTCTATAGGACATAAAAATCAACAAGATGCAAAAGTTGTTGGTCATATAAGTCAATAGTCAAATTTTAAATTTTAAAAAACATATTAAGTGTGACTATTTAGAAGATTAAAAGACTTTGATAGACTTAGTGTGCATAAGGAATAAAGGCATTGAGTCATCATTTGACTTCTATTTAAATGTCATTGTGCAAGTGGTATTGTCAATGTGACCAAGTTGTAGTGTTAGTTGAACTTTTTATCTAAAAGTAATTATGTACCAATAGTCAAAGTATGAATAGAATATAATGTTATCATAAAAGAATTTTTGTAAGTATAAAAGATAAAATTTCTTCTATGCCTTTATAAATATTTTATTCTCTCACTATATTTATATTTACATGTTTATTAAATACTTTATCTCATCTATTTATTTAAAAGAATAATAACTTCATAATTATAATAATTATCAAATAATAATTATAAAATAATAGTAGTAGCATAAAATCTCTTAAGACAGTTAATGTGAATTATTACTTGAATTTTTCCAAAACATTATATAATGTTTAAAGTTTATTTATTTTATTTTTTGAAACATATCATTTCATTTTCTTTTCTGTTTGAAAATTGAGCAAAACACAACCATAAAGATTACAATAAAAATCCCATTGATGAAGCCTTGTTGTAAAATATCTACTCATTTCATCATTAGTATTAAAACATGGATAACAGTATGAATTAGAACACATATGCATCAAAACACTAACCTCTTCATAAACAATTTGCTTAATTTTCAATAAAAATGAATCATAATTCTGTGCAAGTGTAAACACATACATATGTGTGTCTATATATATACATATACACACACATTTATGTATATATATATATACGTATATATATATACACAAACACACACACTAAAAAACTACCTCTAACGAAAGAACGCCACCTTAACCACTTTCAGGTGCGAATGTTTGTGTGGGTCGGAGATGTTCTAATCGCCACAACTTTCTGTTATTTTCACTATTCTCACAATTGATGTTGTTGCTGGTGGTGCAACTTGGAAAGCATCGACAGAACAGAAAGCGAGCAGGCCATGGAGCTGCAGGGCGAATGATTCCCATAGCTCCGAGCTGGAGCGACAGGATGTGGGGAGGAGGAGGAGAGTTGGGAGCCACAAAATCATGGTGTTACTGCTCTGCTATTTATTTGCTGTTGCCGCTACTGCACGGTGCAGCAGAAGAAGCAACAGGGGCAAGAGGGGCAACATGGGTTCCACACACACAGAGACCGAGAGATAAAGCCCCGGCGTCTCCAGGAAAGCTGTTGCTCAACGTCTTCAATCCAGCTCCAGTTTAGTCAAAAGAAGAACAAAAGCGCTCCGAAGTCACTGGCGCCAGATCCATTGCCCGACCCCCCCCCCCCCCCTCGTTCACTCCTGCCCAATTCCTGCGGGACTGTGAAAGGCTACTCGATGTTTGCAACGCAAACAAACAAAAAGGAGAAGGGAAGTAAAGAAGAAAGGGTGAAAAGAAAGGAAAAAATGGTTAGGTAGAAAAAGGTAGAAAAATTTTAAGAAAACTTTTGGGATGTGATCCAGTGCATAGATCTCCCACACTAGCTTCTGTCATGGAAGAGGATCGAAACGCCTCCACCAATGTTTCACTTCCTTTTGCAGAACGATGCGAATGAAACGATCTCGAGGTGGTTCGCCGGTGGCCCATACAACTGACACGCGGTTGTGGCTCTGGCTCATGAATTTGCAAGTACCTGCAGTTGGAAACGAGAGGAAAAGCGTGGCAAAAACTGCCGAATGATGCATGGAAACATGCAGCGTGTATCGAAGCCTGTGAGAACAGGTCTGCTGCTGGTGCGCTCTCCATCACCGTGGCCATTTAAGGAAGAGAGGGGGAGCTGAGGGAGACACAACCTTCGAAAGTGTGATAAAGCGTCACATGACGACACTACTATAATCTACACAGAGATATAGCGATGAAAAGATAGAGCAAACTTGGGTCCATCAAGAAAGAGCTGGCTGAAGTTCTAGATGCGCAGCCTGGAGCAAAGATACTGGCAAAAAGAAAAAATAAAGTAAACGACTAGTGCCTCTCTGACTTAGAAATGAGGTGAAAGTTTGAGTTGCATTGTCGGAGGAGCACTGGCCCAGGTTTAAGAATCGATTTCGTGTCTAATACGGGTTGCGTGTGAATTCCTCGTATGGAAAGAGAGTGGCGTGTCGTCGAAATGCTTAGATTAACCAATTTCACCCGGAGACGTCGTTATCCCCCCTCAACTGTGGGGTCTTTTTCGATGGTGAAGACATGGGTGAATTCATCAACGATGGGAACGTTGCACCCGGAATTCAACGCCGTGCGTTGATTGCTGCGGAACCACGGTTCACCTGAAAAACGGAGAAAGGATGGATCGACTCAGGAAAGATCTAAAGATTGAGCTCTTTTAAGGTCCAAAAGAGAACAAGTGACGAAAAAATATTATGCTTAGTGCCACTCGATCTACTGTTTGACACTGACAAACTCACGAGCGACGTTCGTGAAGACATCGACGTTCAAGCTAATCAGCACTTCGGCTCCGCGAGGCACCTCTTCAATCATTGGCCACAACTAAGCAATCTCTAACGTCGCCAGAATCGGAACGTTTACGTATTCGTAGGGACAGCTATTTGATGACTGGATGCAAGGATTCCTATAAAATGATGGTCTGATCCCTCCAGGGTCAAACCTGCATGTTCGACTTCCGCAACACAACATTGCCTCAGAATTCTATTGATCACCATGGGGCAGAGACAGAGACTGCGAGTCTAGTTCTATTTTAGTGAGTCTGTGTGTGTGTACATAAGTGTGGGTGATCAATTTTCTTCCAACTGTGATTCGTCTTGTAAGGTGATCGATCAAGGCACAACACAGACTGTTTCTCCCTGCGTGCTGCATACGTATTGTTGTAATGCCATTGGTATGGTCAAGTACAACCGGAGCAAGCTTTTGAAAGATGGGGAATTTTCTGGAAGATGGCAGTCGAAAGGATCTTACAGGTTTCAAGATGAGAGCCGCCGTTCTGATTCTGTCTCAGATTTTGGGGGATTTCACAAGTGGAGTACCCATTCCTGCACCGGAATTTCCTGAAAAGTGCACGAGCGAGGAGAACTGTTGCATGCCGTACCCATACACGGGTAAACCAGTTAGACAGTTCACCATCGACCCCAATCTGCCGCTACGAATCAGGAGACCGGTGCACAAGCTCAACGATGACGAGATCGCGAAGCTGGAGAAAGGCTACCAGTTGCTCAGGTCGCTGTCGGAGTCGGATCCCCGGTCGCTCTCCAACCAAGCAAAGCTTCACTGTTTGTATTGCGACAATGGAATTTATTATCCAGGTATGATCTGGCCGCTAGAAATACATAACCACTGGTTGTTCCTGCCATGGCACCGGATGTTCTTGTACTTTCATGAGCGGATTTTGGCCGAGCTCTTGGACGACGACAGCTTCGCACTTCCTTACTGGAATTGGGACAACCAGTCGGAGGAAGAGGTTGCCAACACCTTGCCTGACATCTACGCAAGCAATAGGTCATCGTCTCTGTGGAACCACAACCGTAACAAATGCGCGCAGCAGCCGAATATTGTGAATCTGAATACGGTCGGGGGGTGCACTGAAAAAACGCCAACTGAGCTTCGAATCGAGAACACACGGCTGATGTACACGCAGATAGTGTCGGGAGCGCCAACACCAAGACTTTTCTTTGGACAGGCTTACAGCTATGGCGATGGGGGTGGTCATGGACCCGGAACGTTTGAGGATAACCCACATGGCACAGTGCATCTGTGGGTGGGGGATCCAGATGCACCCAATAAGTTCGACGACATGGGAAACTTTGGGAGGGCAGCGAGAGATCCAATATTTTACCCGCATCACGCGAACATTGACAGGATTTGGACAATATGGAAAACGATGCCGGGAAAGCAGAGGATGGAGCCGAACCACACAGATTTTCTCGACGCAAGCTTCACGTACTATGATGAAAATGCGGATCGGGTCACTGTGAAAGTGTCGCAGATCATCAACACAACACTCCTCAGGTAAAATAGCCTCCTGACTCGCCTCATTTGTCTTCGAAGCTGATGAGGTTCAGTCCCTTTGACTGAATTTTGCTTGTCATCATGAACCCCTAGATACGAGTACGAGGAATCGCCGACTGCATGGATCACGAATGGGCAGAAAGCCGGTTACGAGAATAGCATCCCTGTTTGCAACCCCATGAATCCTTCTCAAACAAACGCCATGATCATCGCCACACCCGAGCTTACGATCCAAGACAAATTGGGTGCAGAGCCACTGACCTTCCGAGTTCCCCGTCCCGAAAGGAGCGACGTGGGTGTGGAGGTGCTGGAAATCGAGGGTATCAAAGTGGATGGTAGGTTTCAGAGCCACTGGGAAGCCTACCTCTTCTTCCCCTCCGTCGACATAAACACGCCAGTGAGCTGTCCAGAGTTCTTCGGCACCTTCAACTTCGTCCCGCACGTTGGGCAGGCGCAGTTCAATCGCGACCGAGTGTGGAGAGTGGCGGTGAAGGACAAGCTCGTCGCCCTGGGGAAGGACAACTACACCGACATCATTGTGACGCTCGTGCAATTCGGCCCGAATGTGCAGCCGCTGGGGATCGGCAAGGCTCGCATCGTGTACGACGCCAGTCCGGCTACGCTTGAGTGAGGGCGCTCTCCACCACTGTCCTCATGTCCACTCCACCTCCTCCTCCTCCTCCTCCATATCCACCGCCACAACAAGCGTCAGAGTAGCATTCTTGTAAAGGTTCTATGGTTAGTATTAACCTCGCGTACGAGGTTTCGGAATCTGTGAACCATTTTTTCCATAGCCCTCGCTGCAAGTCGTCATACCAGAACTGTCCCCAAGTGAAAATTGAGCCGACGAACGTAGAAATTGTGACGCTGATGACACCATCCACAAGGCTTAGGGCTTTACAGGGCATGATCGACGTACCGGTCATGCGAATAACGGTCTTGTGTAGTGTGATTGATCCGTGGAATTGAAGATTTGTATTGATTTCGTGTATGCTTCCAATTGTCCACATGGTTACTGACGATCTGAAAAAGAAATACGGACAATATTTTTGAGAAAATCAACTCTGAGAAACGACAAAGCTTCATTTTTCTGTTCGTTTTCCTTCATCGCAAAAAGAGCAAAACAACGATACCTTCACTATGGATGGCTCAAGATATAATGTACTGATTTCATCCTGCAGTGGAATTTTCTCGTTGGAGGCATCAATTCAAATGCATACCCACCCAAAAGGTGAATAGTCAACCCTTGCAATCAGCTGACTGATGCCCATCCACAATGTGAGACAAGCAGGCGAAGTGCACAACATCCCACATGGTTGCAAAGCAGGAGAAAAGCGGTACGTGAAGGAGCACGTCTGGCACTCGAAGTACGAGGAGGAGAGAGGATTTTTGCATGATGTTGTGTCGTTCTCAAGAACTCTCTTCATCCGAACGAAAAGGAGAAACCATTATTTTTGCCGCCAGTGTAGAAACAACAATGTCGAGACCCGGTTCACTGGGTGGAGACACACCATAATTGTCAAGCAAGATCTGACACACACAAGCTACCAAGAAATTGTATATTCATTACAGCATTGTTTACAGAGTGCGTGTCAGAACAACTCACCAGATCTAGTGTAACGTTGCCTTAACTTAAGCTTTCAATCAAACCTGAAATTCCCACCAAGGCAAGGTTTCTCACTTGGAAACAAACTTTAAAACAACCCGAAACAATCCCTTCAGACCCCCGATTCACCTCGAACAGTAAACAATTCTGTTCCGGAACAGAGTTCTGGACACTGTCCGTCTACGACCCAGAGTCGCGCCGCGACCCTGTGGCACGTCGCAACTCATGTCGCAACTCAAGGTTGCGTCATGCATCGACCCCAGTTTTGACGCGCCACCACCCCGTGGTGGTGTCTTGCGCTATGCCTCAACACTGCCCTCGGCTGCAACTCAAAGGAGGTCGCTTTGGGAGTTAATCTTCACTCCCGAACCGACTCCTAACACCCTAAACTAAGTCTAAACTAGAATTCAAACTTCTAAGGCAAGTGAGTCTTGGATCCCTCTAAAAAGAACCTGAGACTCACTTTCAGTAATTAATTTATTTAGCAGCCCGCCTTGTGCCCCGCACAAGATTTACCTTGGGGTGAAGAGGATGGCCCTCCCAACCTCTCCCATGCCACCTAGCCACAAATTCTCCTAGGCATCAGGAAGTCATTGGCTCACACTTACCTCTGAAGCAAGTGAAAGGGTTGGTTCCTACTGACCCTTATACCCTCCTCCACAATAGCTAGTCAATGTCCTCATTGACACACAATTGGACATTTGAGAAGTAAGTCTCTTTAGGAACTTATTCTTAGTGGATGTTTTGTACTATAGCTTGAAGACTCTTCTCTACCTAGCTTTACATTATCTTCCCTTCTCTAAGAAGGTGAGGTTTTTCTTATTGCTTTAATGAGATGGAATTCTACCTCTTTTTCATGTTTCTTTGTATAATGTCTTTTTTGCCTTCAACTTCTCAAAGTTCTCTCAATTCTTGGATTTAAAAGCCCACACTTCCAAATGTGAATCATAAAGAATTGCATCTTTATTTAGACTTTGTCATGGCCGTTGAACTCCTTAATTAAGATTTGCCTCACCTTAGTATCCTTTTCTACTCTATGGAAGTCACTTGCAATCACTTAATAAGAAACATATTTAGGAAAGATTAACCAATTAGGCTTGATTGCTTAAAGACTTGTATTCGCTTCATATAAGCTTCTTAAGATTTCCTTCTACAAATTCCCTTTGAGTTGGAATCCTTTCAAATCTTTCATCTCTTCAAAATTTCTTATACCATAGTTTTTTGACACTTGTGTTTTAAGACTTTTTCTAAGTTGGATTTCCTTCATCTTTATATTTTTCTCAGTTTGATGTTCATTAAGGAATTCTCCACATATTTTGCTCATTACCAACTTATTTTTTTGATGTCACATAGGATTTTGTGATCTGCTTCTACTTTGGAATGAAGATATCCTCATCTTCTTTGTCACCCTCATTTATCTCCTATACCAAAGATTCAACTTAATGATTCTTGATTTTCTTCCTTATAGTTTTTGGTCTTCTATAATCACCTACTTGCTTATTGAAAGTTGTGACTAATCCTTGTATATGTCTTAAGTTCCTTTCATTAATCCATTGAAATTTATGTGGAAGATGACCTTTAAAAGTACACAAATATTGAATCCTTCTAATATTTGTTGTCATATTACACGAAGTCTTGTTTGAGAATGTAACAAGCAATTAGATGTAGAAGGTAGAAAAAAAATTGCAACAACAAGATTCTAACTTTAATAGAATCTTAAATAAATCCAATTAAATCTTAATAATATTAATCAAGCTTCAATAAAATCCAAAGAAACCTTAAAGAAATTATGAAAGAAGCATGAAGAAATCCTAAAGAAATTCAAAGGAAGTATTAGAATAAAATCTTAAATACATGTCAAATAAATTTCAACCAAATGTCAATTTAACCATAGTTAAATCCTACTAGTCCTTAATTAAATCCTATATCAAATCCTAATTGAATCCTAAAAAATCCTAAATCCTAAACAAATCCTAAATCCTAACTAATTTCTAAATTCTAAACCAAATTCTAGTCAAATCCTAGTCAAATTAATCCAATCTTAGGGTAATTTAGAACCTCAATATCTATCAATTTTACTATTGATCTTTCTTAAGTTTTTACACATCTCTCAAAAACTAAGTTGGCAACAAATATACAAAATTTGAAGAAGATTAAACTTATCATATAGAAGATCAATCCTAAATTTTGCTTAGGTATTGATTGGCCTCCTACTCCAATCTAAATGTTGAACTTCTAGTGCTTGTATCTCTTTCTTGAACTATTGAAAGACTCCCAAATTTTACCTAGACTATTAAAAATTGAGTCTAGTATCTACACAAAAAATAAATAAAATAAAATAAAATAAAATACTTCAATCCAATCAATAGATTAATGAAGATCTTAAAAATACTCACTGACCCTCAAACTCCCATTTTTGAGATCTCAATCTACAAAAATATTTACACTTTGATCTAATTGTTTGCTTGACTTCAAAAATTGTACACATACTAATAACTAAAATACCAACATACTACCCAAAATTCACCCATATATACACTACAAAACTCAAGAGACTCTCAATTTTGTAAACATAATTTTATTTTTCAAAATCTAATCCAATTAAGAACATCACTAAGTTTGAAAATCCTTCAAAAACTGAATATTAACTTGATTGATATAAAAATAATGCCCAAAAATCTCTTTACAAGTCTACTCTTATACTTTGCTATTCAATCTCCCAAAGAATCCTAAAGTCACCATAGGAATCTAATTTTGTCCCTTAAGGTCTGATTTTGATCTAGGTTGACAACTGGTCCTCTTTGAATATCAATATTTGGTATTTTGAGGTAATATTTACTTAAATCTATAGATAAATTTTTTCTAAACATATTTATATTAATTACTTATCTCATTTACTTTGATTTTAGATATTTATGCTCCTACAAAGCAAATAGAAGTTCTTTCTTTAAAAGACAACATTAAGACTGAACCTTTTATTATCTTCCTATCATTTATCTTTATTTTTGTACTACATCTTCCTATTAGGCTCTTCTATAACAACATCCTTGTTTTTATTTTTTACCATATAGTTGTGTTATCAACCAACACTGTACGTTTCTTGTCAAGTATTACTTCTACTTAATCCATGGTTTGGTCCTAAATCTCCTCTTGAAGTGAAACTCGTGCCTTTTCTTAGTGAAAGCCTTTCACTTCCTCTACAAACTTTTTAAGGATGCTCATATAGAAAATTAGATGCCACTTCAATCTTTTTGATATGTCTAATACATAGACATTTTTTGTAATATTCTTTCAATCTCATAAAGGCCTGCCTTCTTTTGGATCTATTTGAAAATAAGATGTGCTAAGCAAATGAAGTTACTTTAGCCACACTTTGTCTTTCTTTTCGTAATGCACATCTTTCTTATATTTATTGGCTTATTTCTTATATCTACTTTGAGCTAATTCCAATCTAGCTTTGGCAATTTTTATTATGGCTTCTCTTTTAGCTATCTACCTTAGTCCTTCAATAGAATAAAAATCCAAAGTAGTTTTATTACTCCACCTAATTTTTATCAAATCAATTGGCTTGAGTACATCAAAATAGTGAGCCACTTTAAAAAGTATATTTTCTAATGATTCACTCTAAATAGTGTTATAACTAAACTCAACTATGGACAATGATTTTACTCAATTCTTATAATCACTTTCTCTATAATACCTTAGGTATATTAAAAAAATCCCATTGATTCTTTTGATTTGGCCATCCTTTTATAGATACCAAGTAATAATTAGTAACATATTAAAATTCAACTTTCTCATAATATGTTGACAAAATTGAATTATAAAACTCACATCCTTACTACTTATAATCAAAGTTGGCATTCCATACAAAGAAATCTATTCATCAAAGAAGAGACCTTTAATCATCCTTGGAATAGTTTTCAACTCTTTTTTTGAATCATTTGAAATTATTGTCATTAATATGAATCTAATAGTCATAATAAACCTATCTATAATGACTAATATAGAATTAGCTTCACTACACTTTGATAATCTAGTTATAAAGTCTATTGAAATATCTCTATATGATAGAAATAGAATAGGTAGTAGTTCTAAAAATTCTACTTTTACTTCTATAGAATGTTTATTTTTTTGATACTTTAAGTAATTCTTTACATATGGTTTTATATCTTCCCTTATAGAAGGCCAATAATAAGATTTTTTTACATCTTTAAGTGTGGTCTACATACCTCTATGTCCTCTACATAAAAAAACATGTATTTCATACATCACTTTTTTCTTCCATTTTCCCTATAGTACATAGATTCTAGTTTGCTTAAATCAAATAAGTTCATCTTTTATTGAGAATACTTCTATAAGTCTTCTCAATTTTTTAATAATTTTGATTTGAACAAATACTTTTTTTATTTCAAGTGCATCCTCATCCTTTTCATAGTCTTCTTTAATGCATTTGATAAGTAGAAAATCATCACAATTCACTATTATCTTTAGTGACATTGTATCATGGAGTTTCTCTTCTATGAACTCTTTTCTTCTACTTAGTGCATCTATCACCAAAATATTTTTGCCCGATTTGGTAATGAATTCAATGTCCATTAAAACTATCACATCATACTACCTCAACTCTTTAGGAAAGACTTGTGTTTTTGAAGTAAAATTCTTGAAAGAAATATTGTCAATACACACTTTGATTTCTCTACCTCGCAAGAAGTGTTTCCAAGCTTTTAAAGAATGTACCACTACAAACAATTCTTTTTCATGTATTAACCACTTCAACTAAGTTCCACTTAACTTCTTACAATTAAAAGTCTTATATCTTTTTTCTTGCATTAAGACTCCACCAATTGCAAAGTCACTTATATCAATATGGATTTCAAATTTTTTATCAAATTGCACATAGAATAGGACTATATTTGAAATCAAAACATCTTTGATCTCTTGAAAAGACTCTTCGCAATCTACATCTCATTTTATGGATTTCCTATCTTTTTTCAAGAGCCTTGTGAGGAGACTGGCAATCTTTGAAAAGTTCCTTATGAACTTCTTATAGTAATTTGCTAGATCCTAAATAGTTCTAACTCCCTTCTAAGTTATTAGTACTTCTCAAGTTTTAATTGCTTCAATTTTCTTAGGATGTGGTATAAGTCCCACTCCATTCATAACATGGCCTAGAAATTTCAACTTTTCTAAGAAAAAAATACTTTTTTCCTTATTAGCATAGAGTTGCTTTTCTCTAAGCTTCTTTAAGACTACCTCTAAGTATAGCTAATATTCTTCTTTACTCTTGGAAAAGACTAGAATGTCATTAATATAAATCATTAAAAATTCATTACTTTTCTTCTGAAAGATAGAGCTCATTAAAGTAATAAAGATAACTAGAATATTATACAATTTAAAAGGCATA